GCAGCCCAAACACAGCACAGACTTGTTCATGTGGAAGTGCTCTCTGGGACTGGGGGCTGCAGCCCTGCTGGCAGTGTCCAAGCACGGGAGCGCGGCAGGGCGTGTGGGAACTGTGCATGTGTTGTATTTATCCACCCCCAAATCACTCTAAAACAAAGTCGCTGCTGCCACTGTTTGATTGGATTTTGGTTTTGGTTCACAAATCCTGTCTTCACTGGTCTGGAGTGGGTCCATGCTGTCGATATTTTTTTAAACCTCCATTTTAACTCCTTAGTCTTAAAGATAAGAATAAAACAACTGAAACATTTTTTTTTAAGTTTTTCGTAAATTAGAAAGTAAACCTCAACTTACAACACACCACATATGAAAATTAACCCAGATGTACCACACGTAAGAGTAAAGTGTCAGTCCTCTCAGGAAAATAGAAATACAAACAGCAACAAAAAGAAGAAATCTTTAGCATGTGTCAAAGGTTACCAAAATTTTGATCAAGATTATATGATCATAAACCAAAGTTATGATCGACTTTTTTAATGGACAAACTGACCTTCAAGATTAAAAGGCCTCTGCTCTGCACACACACCTGTCTGAAGGGCTGCGAAGAGGACACTGGGGATGCAAGTGGGAGGAGGGCCGACAGCCACCCCCAGATGCAGATGCACAGTGCACCTGCCTCCAGCAGGGACACCCAGGAGCAGAGACACCCAGGAGCAGGGACACCCAGGAGCAGGGTCCCCAGGAGCAGGGACACCCAGGAGCAGGGTCCCCAGGAGCAGGGACACCCAGGAGCAGGGTCTCCAATAGCAGGGACACCCAGGAGCAGGGACACCCAGGAGCAGAGACACCCAGAAGCAGGGTCCCCAGCAGGGGGCCAACAGTGACAGCTGATAGGGACCACATAAAGAGCTCAGGATGAAGAAATAACAAATGTTCAGTTCAGTAAAATGCTTGTGCCCTCCACAATTGCCTGGTTGCCACTCCCTTGCCCACACCAACCAACCTGCTTAGGCTCCTGTGGGATCCGAGGTGCCAACATTGGTTGAAACACAGTGCTCTAACACAAAAAGCTGCTCTGGACCTGTGGCACCTAAGCTTTTGGGTTCAGTGTCCCTTTACAATCTCTAGATTCAGGATCCCGAAGAGTTTTTGTCTATGTAGGTTACACCTATCCAGGGTTACCATATTATAAGCCATGACAATTTTAAATATTGACTTACTTTAACAACTTACAACGTAATAGTTAAATAATTCTATGTATATACTTTAATCTGTAGGTTATGTATAATAACCTAAACAATGCACATGCTCTACACAGTTGTTACAATGTATTATTTAGGGAATTGATGAAAAGATCTGGACATACTCAGTACAAATGCAAAGTGATCAGTTGAATCTGTGGACCCAAAGCCCACTGATGCGGAGGACAATTTAGACATTTGATAAATATTTCAATTTACCTTTAATATATGTTTCAACATTCATTTAACACTCACTGATTTTCCCAAGAGTATAATTATCATATTCTCAAAAGAAAGATTACACGGTTTTACTCAAAAGCAAGATTACGCATTACACATCATTCACCACTTTAGAAAATCATGAAATCAACAGCAGCTCTGTCCCTGACACTGGACCACCAAGAAAACACTCCTTGCGGTTGGGAGTAGACTCATAGGGGTCTTACTTACTTTGATACTTTGTACACTACAGTCATACCTGAACATTCATGTTGCCATGCTAATCTAAGGTAAACTCCCCTTTATTTTGTGATAGTAAAACCAGACCTGCGTGTGAAATGAAATTATTAAAATGTTATGGTAAGAAACCAATGCTGGGGAAGAGGTCAATTCCACTCCCCTCTCTCAGCCTTTCTCCAAGAAGTCTAATTAACCAAGGGTCCCTATCTTTTGGATTGTAAATAACTATCCCAGGAATCTGACTACTCCCTCTTGAAATGTAACAGGTGCCTGGGCAGAGCCTCTCTTCTTACTTGTTTCTGTCAGCATGCTTCATGCTAAAGACCCTGCACAAGGCCTTCAGGCACACAGATTAGGAATTTAAAAAAAAAAAAAAGAGAAAAATACACAATGATGGGATGGGTCTAAGATGATGTAACCTATAAATATCATGAAAAATTGTGGATCAGGGCTCAGAATTTGGAGTTTCTGTTCCTCTGGGTCCACAGGCATAAAATAAGGTCTGGAATTCTCCTCCTCTCCCAGTGCTGCTTGCTGCTTCTAGACAGGTTTGGGAGGCCGTCTGTCACGTGCCAGCACTTTCCCCTCCTGATAGGTTGAGGCACTGTCGGTCATTCCCCCGATGATCTGGCTACTCTTAAGTTGCTGAAGACGGTAGACCCCGATCTTGAGGGTAGAAATAATACAACCATATGTGTCTTTATGCGTAGGCGTGCCTTCCTACAGCCCCATGGATCGAGCTATGCTCACCTGTTCCCCTTGCTCTGTTTGGGACAGAATATTCCATGGAAACGCCCTTTATGTGTCCCCTTCTCTTACTCTGCCCTTGGCTGTGGCCTACCTAGATGTCAGTCAACCTGCTGACAGCAGACATCATGAAGCTAGATTCAGCCCCCTGAAACCTGACCCCTTGCCTCATTTGAATGGCTTCTCCTCAATCTTTCTGCGGACCCTTAAGGACAGAGAAGCCATCACAGCACCCCCAAAGAAAAATGTATTTCTGACTCTTGTGTGGTTATTTCGCACAACCCAGTTCCCCTAGAGTGACCCTGTTTTAGTCGCAAGCAACATGGCAGATGGGTCTGTTTCCCACAACAATTTCTCTTTGCCCCATGGGACAACTGAAGATTACAAGGTAAGGAACACGGAGGCTTACACAGCATTATGAGAGAAGTGCTGCTCTGACACAGCTGAAGCATGCCACCACCAACCTCACTGATTCCATGAGAGAAATACTGCCTATTCAAAGACACAAGTAGAATGCACTCCAGCAGGGCAGGGATGTGGAAGTAGGGTCTTCACATCACTGGCAGTATGTTGTTTCAAGCAAATTCACAGGTGCCAGATGTTGGGAAAGTGATGGTCCAGTTTGGATTTTGAATGTCCCCAAAAGGCCTATGTGTTAAAAGCCTTGAGGACAGCAGTGTGCTCCAGCACGCATTTGGATGGTGATGAGCAGCCTCACCACAGACCAACGCAACCAACCAATCGTGGACTAGAACCTCCAAAACTGAAGCCGAAATAAATTTCTTTATAGGTCAATTATCTCGAGTATTCCTCATAGTAACAGGAAGCTGACACATGGGAAATAATGATTATGTTAACTTTATAAAATCATTAAGCACTATTATACAGTAGGTACTTGGCTTCTGAAGGTCCACTGAAGCCAAGTACACATTCTTGTTTTTTAAGATGTATTAAGGGCCACAGCCGAATCGGGATGACGCATGGCATTTTTGCCAGAAGTAGTGGTTGATAGGTGACACCAGCGAGCCATTAAGATGATGACTTTTGAGTTCTCTCGGAGTCACTGTATTAAAAAGCAACATATTACAAGAGCATAAAGCCAAGTGTTTGCAACATATCATCAGAAAATGAGGCAATTAAATGTTCTGGGGGAGTTAGCAGATAAAATGCCCACTAATTAAATTTTTTAGATGTCAAGTTATAAAGGCAGTAATTAATATTGCTCTTTGCTCAATGACAGAGAAGTTTAAAAGACATAACAAGGTAAGCTACTAAATATATTTACAAAATGTTGTAGTAAGTAGTAGCGTAAGTGCAATGATCAATATCAAAAATGACCAAGACAGAGCAGAGAATGCCTTCCTGAAATATCTTATTCCAAGAGCCCCTCTGGATCTCACTAAGAGCCTACTGACTCTTGACACAGACACAATCTACACTAGCAGATAAGAGGGCAGAATTTCACTGAAGCATTTCCATCTCCTAGAAGGGGTGAAACTTTTAGGTCAATCAAAAAGTCCCAAGATAAAGAATTTTAAGTTTAGAAATGTCACTCTAGCTCATGAGGAACAACTTTAAAATCCAGTTGTGATGATGACAAGGTATAAATGTGTGGTTTATCCCTGGAAGAAAACATTTTGGAATCACAGAAAAGGAAAACATACGTTCAAGGGAGAACGCCACAACCAGCCCCCTCTGTAATCTGACTTCTCCTGATGAGCAAGAGGACACCAGGCCCTGCGCCTCTGCCCTGAAGACCACCAGGGGCTCCAGGGCTGGAACAGTCTGCTCCTCTCAGCCTCACGAAGGCTTCCCTGCCCTCTGCGCAGTCACTTTCCATTGATCCCTTCTTGACACTGAGTCGCCTCCCTGGAAAGTGGGATCTGTGACCAGATTGACTGTATCCTGTTAGCTCCAGCACCTGGCACTGCCCAGGAAAGATGCCAAGTGGAGCAAGAACCGGATGAAGTCAAATAGGAGTGACACAAAATCATTCATCCTTCGTCCCTTAGGTCACCACGGAGCATTCCACAAGTTACACGCATTAATTGTCATAAAGCATGAACGAAGGTGAACGAGCATTCTCGGTATTTTAAACGTAAGTGGCTCAGCCAGCCTTCAAAACGGCTCATCTCTACGCTGCGGAGCCTACGGGCTAAGTGGCACAGTCGCTTCAACTCCTGTGACGGTCCCTCACGGTGCGCCTGATGTCTCCCCGCACCAGGGCCAGGAGGTGACGTCCTGCGCTTCCCCCGGAGCCCTCAGCCCGGGCGGGTCGGCAGCTGCACCGGGGCTGTCGGCCGTGCTCGGCGGCGGCCTCCGCCCCGGCAACCCCCGGGACAGCCGAGCCCGCGCCCACCCGGGGGGAGCAGCGGGGCGCGGGGAAGCGCGCTCTCCGCCGAGCGCCCGGCCGCCGAGGGCGCGAACGCCGCCCTGCGACCCCGGCCCTCGGCCCGGCCCGGCTCCGCCGCCGCCCGCGTCCCCACGCCCCTCGGCCCTGCCGCCCCGACCCCGGTCGTCTCCGAGCGGCGCGCTGCGGCCTCCGGACGCGCGTACCTTCGCTCCGGCCGAGGATCCGGCAGCACAGGTTCTGCAGCAGCACGTTGGGCGACTTCTGGTCGGGGGTCGCCATCGTCGGCCAGGACTGTGCTCGGCGGCAGCCCCGCGCCCCCGGCTCCTGGGCCCCGGCTACGGCGCCGCCATGTTCGCGGAAGCGGCCCCAGGCGCGCGCTTCCCATAATGCCCCGCGGCCCCGCCGCATCGCGCGTGCGCGGCTCGCCCGCCGCGGGTCGCGGGCCTCCGCCCGTGCGCCGGCTCTCAGGCTGCAGCCCGCAGTCTGCTTGCGCGGTTAAACTGCGCAGGTGGAGGTTGGCTTCACACTTCTGATGGAAACTGTTTAAGGCCTTTAACCGTGGGTGCGCCCCTCCTAAGCAGAGGCCGGGGGTCGCGGGCGTGAGCTGAGGGGTAGAATCACCAGCCGCGAACCCCATCCCCGGCTAACTGCCGTCCTTGGATCCGTACGTGGGCAGAGCGGGCAGTGAGCACGGGGCGTTTGGGGTGTGTCCAGCTGCTTTCCCTCGCTGGCACTCTCAGGCGCCCGGGGCCAGCGCACTAAAGTCCAGCTACCGGAGGGAAGGTCGGGAGACCCGGCTGCGTGGACCAGGAACGCTTCCGACGGGAAGAGCTGGGGCATCCTCCCGGCGTTCCCGCCAAGCAGGTCTGCAGCCCAGGGCAGCACGGTCAGCGAACAGAGCGCGTGTTCTCAACATTAAACCTGGGGATGGTGTCACAGCCTGGTGGAGCGAATCATCACCGCCCGATGGGGCAGCAGAGGAGGACATGCTGTCGTCTGCCTGCCTTTTGCTCTAGATCCACTGGCTTTGCTGCCCTGCCCTGCCCTGCTCTGTGTGGGAGAGAACGCTGGCCTCCTGCAGGGTTCCACCAGAGGAACCCAGCCATGGAAACCTGGGGGGAAGAAGAGACCCGCTCATAGCACACTGTCTTTGTGAGGCTGAGATGTTTTCTCCCGGGCAGCATCTTACTGTCAGCCTATTCTTCGTGGCATGGAGACTGCTCCAACAGAAGCTTCCAGAATGTCACTATGGTGACTAACAGCTCTTCGCATTGTCTTCCCTGCCCTGTGAGCAGTAGGGGCTTTGCCTGCTCATCTCACCAGCCCCAGCCCCCTGCCTCTGTCACCCTCCTAACCAGTTCTGTTTAATCCCTGTGTGGTTTCTGCTTTGGACTGATAACCCAGCACAGTCCTTAGTAGTAGGAGTGACTCTGAGCATTCACAGGCCTTAAGAGGGCATTCCAGGACTGGATTGCTCACAAGTCTAAGCTCCAGTGTGTTGACACGAAATCAATGACACGTGGGTAATCAATGACAAGGAGTGTCAAAGTGGTTTATATTATTTTGTGTGGCTGCTGGTTGATAGGAAGACCTTGAAAAATTAAGTAGCTGCTCCAGCCAGGTATTTATGTAGCAGCACGACTACAAAGACTGAGTTGGGACAGACAGTACAGGAGTGCATTCCGGTCTTAGTCTTTGCATTTCTAACCCCAGGTACAATCACAGAGCCAGGGAGCTCCCATAGCAGCTCTAATAGGATCTCTCATTTTTGCACCTGCAAAGTAGTCAGAACTGAGGAACAGACCCAAACCTACCTGGCAGTAGGGTAGGAAGCAGGCTGAGCACAGTCCTGCCACATCTCATATTAAGGTAGGTCATTAATTGAAAAATGGGGGCTGGGCATATAGCTCAGATGGTAAGAGTGCTTGCCTCGAATGCACAAAGCCCTGGGTTCAATCCCCAGCGCCACCACCAAAAAAAAAAAAAGAGTTCTTGATTAATTGAAAAGTGGGGCCCTGAGGATTAATTTAGACATTGGCTAAAACATGAAATCCAGAATACTCATCTTCAGTGGTCTGCTCAGCCCCTTTACAGAGACAGACCTGCCTTTCTCTGACGTCCAGGAACAACCAGCATGGCTATTCTCATCATAAGTAAGTTAAAATGAAATTTCAAAGAAAGAAAGGATAGGCAGACAAAAATCACAGAAGAGGAGCAGAAAACCAATTTTTAAATGGTATTTAAATCCAACCATACTAATAACTACAGCAAAAATCATGGAATGAAGCATCCAATTAAAATCAGAGACCGGCTGGGCATGGTGCACCTGTAATCCCAGCAACTCAGAAGGCTGAGGAAGTGTGATAGTAGGAGCAAATGTGACTCCATTTTGTTTTATGACTTCATCCTGTAAAACTACCATGCCAAGTAGAAGAGTCATGACTGGAGCAAGATGTTCTTTTCCTTTTGCTATAGAAACCTTTAAGAACACGGAACTACCTAATGGGGTATTGTTTCTGTAACTAGGGTAACGGGGCTCTGTTTCTGTAACTGGGGTGACTGGGCTAACTGTGATTGGTTAGGCTTCCCTCCGCTTGACTGCACTGTCCCGCTTCTGTAACCTGGCTTGCTTGCATTGGCTAGACCCCCTGAACATCCCTTTTGCAGTTTTCAGGCTTATAAGGAGTGCCCTTGCAATTGTTCAGGGCTGATCAGGGGAACAGCTTTATGTTCTGGTCAGCCGCCACCGGTGTGCTTCAATAAAGGCTTGATTCGATTATACGTGAGTGGTCTGGAAGTCAGTTCATGAAACCCTGGGACAAAGCTTTAACTATAACATTTGGGGGCTCCTCCATGATCCATTTCTTCCCTACCCTCACGCCAAATTTGCCTCCAATGACAGGCCTTTGGACCTCGGCCCCGGAGTAGAGGGGAGCTCCTGAGAGACATTCCTCAGCCTCACTCCGAGGACGACTCCAATCTGTCCTAGGACGCTCTGAAAAGCCTCCTGCCGGCTGTCAGTTCTGGTGAGTCGACTCTTCTCTGGGGAAAAAGGTCAGATTGGACGCAGTCGCTTACACCTTCCCCGGGACAGGACGAGACGTTGTCACTGTCTCCCTGGAGGTCTCCCTGTGAGACCTCATCTGTCTGTATCTGGGGCCCACTGGAGGCCTCCCTGGGAGGCCTCATCTGTCTGGGGACAGGATGAGACGTCGTCTCTGTCCCACTGGAGGCCTCCCTGTGAGGCCTCATCTGTCTGGGGGCGAGACGAGACGTGGTCTCTGCCCCATTAGAGGTTTCCCTGTGCGACCTCAGGGATTGTTGCTTGTCCAGTGTCTGTTCTGCTGTTTATCATTTCTCCAGTGTCTTCTGCTGTTGGTCATTTGTCCAGTGTCAGTTCACCAGCCATTTGTTCTGTTTGTGGGGTCTCTGCCCCATTAGAGGTCTCCCTGTGTGACCTCAGCGATTGTTGCTTGTCCTGTGTCTGTTCTGCTGTTTGTCGTTTCTCCAGCATCTTCTTGCTGTTTGTCATCTGTCCTGTGTCTGTCCGCTGGCCGTTTGTCTTATGTTTAATCTGTCTGAGTGTTGTGTGCGGGCCCTTTTCTTGTTCCCATAACCGCTCTTCTTTCATCAGGACTCCTTCGCTCCACCGACATCAGAGACAAGGAAGCGCTACAGAGATCTCTACCTGGACCCCTTTAACTTGCTTTCTTAACAATTCTCAGGACTTTGTCTGTTGGTTTGTTTTTGTTTGTTTCCTTTGCGTTCTGTGTTAATTTCTACCTCAGTTTGTTTCTAATGGAAAAAAATGGTTAAAACGGTTTTAACTGTGCTCACTACAGCTTGCATTAAAATGTAAAGTGCTGTCAACAGGACTAAAAGAATTGTCAAAAGTAAAAGCTAAAGGTAAAAAGAAAAAGGCATTCTAGAGATTGCCTTCATTTAGGAGCTGGGCCAGGTGGCCAACTGGGTAAATCATGTCACTTCCTATAGAGGACAGATTAAAACTAAAGTGTTTTATAAAATTATCATTCCTATATTGTATAACAAAAAACATAATTTTGTCTAGGAAATTTGGCTTTTGTCTCTCAGTATTTACAAGCATGAATAACTCCCAACTATTAAAAAATGGTCTAAAGATTTTTCAATGTCAGGCTAAAAGTTGGTGGCCGCTATCCAAGAAACCAGAAAAACCAGTTTAGAATGGGACCCCAACCTGGGGGACTCTCCCAAGGAGACCAATGAAGCTGCGTCTTTGGGAAGTTCCTCCGGGGAAAAATAAGCCCCCTTCGTTTGTCTATGTTCCCTTGACTCTTTTCAGCTTTCATGAACAGGACCACCTCAGGAAAAAGGTCAGAAAACTTTTAAAATTCTATATTTGTTAAACTCATAGTTTTGATCCAATATGCCTAGGTTAATATGTTTTTCTGATGACACTCTGCTTTATTCTGAGGCCAATTTACAAGGGTTAACTCTCAATCTAATAAGTTTTAAAAAATAAGCTACAAGGCTTTTGTTTGTCTGTTTGCTTTGTGTGGGTGCACCAGTGTACTGTCTGTCTATATGTATTGCCATGTCTACACGTATTTGATACAAAAAAATTGACATATGAGCTCATAAATTAAAATTTTAAAAATGGATCCAAATACTTTTGGTTAATATGATTTAAAAGGTTCAATTCAAATTGAGAAAATAGATAAAAGTACAAATGTCTTTAAAGTTACTAATGCACAGTTTTGTTTCTAGATGGTTAAACGGCTGTTAAAATGTTAATGTCTATAATGTGTCTGATATCCATTGTCTCTAGGATTTTTATTCAACAACAACAACAAAAAGATTACTAATACTATTCAATACACTTGTGTGATACCTTGTTTTTAAAAAAAGATGTAAATTTCATCTAAACGTATATGAAATTAATCATGGATTTGTTTGTTAGAGACATCTAATTGGATTACAAAGTTAAAATGCTGACTGTTAAATATAATATCAAGTGCTTTTAACTCCTTAAATTCCATAAGGTAAAATACTTAAACAATGTTGGTGTTTTCATACATTGGTAAACTAAAAAGGAAATTTGTAATCATTTTGTGTTATTATAAAAACAAGGTTACTCTAAATTACAAAGTCCCAACAGATATAATTCTACATACAAGGAGTCAAGAGGTTTCAACTGTATTTCAATTAAAGTACTGTAAGTAACAAATATTTCATCTTATTAAAATAGATCAATTTATCTAAATTCAAAAATTCATAAGGGTTATTTCAAGATACAAACAAAAAAGGGTCAATGGATTAAAAATTATTAAAAAGTTCTAAATATAAAAATATATTTAATAAAAAACATTTCCAGGTAAAAAGTCTTTATGTGGTAAAGTATAATTATAATACATCTAAGTAAACAACAAATGGGTCTAATTAAGTAATATAAATGTCTATAAATAAAAGACAAATATTAAAAGGTTTATATGTAACTAAGTTGGTTATATATGTAACACAAATAGTTAAAACTATTCAAGGTTGTTCCCCAAGGACAAATAATAATGTACTGATATATGTTTATATGTTAAAATGACAAGAACTTCTAAAAATATTAATTACATTATGTCTGTTAAGTTTTATCCCCTAGAACAAGTAATCTTGGAGAAATTAAGGTTTGTACATCTGTGGCTAAACAACAACTGTTATTTTAAAGTATTGTCCTACATTACAAATTTCTAGATTTTCCTTTAAAAGCTAACCTTGGTTAATATAAAAACATCAATAAAAGTGTGGTACATTACTCTTCCTTACAGATTAAATGTGTTCATATCTTTCAGGTTCACAAGTCTTTAAGGTAAAAGGTTTAAAGAAACATTTTATCAAGCGAGTATTCTCCAAACTAAAATTGTCTGTAATGGTAATTTAAACTTATAAAGATAATAGATTTTATTGGGGATTTATTTATATTATTTAATGTTTTGTAACCAAATCTTATGTTACCTTTTACACTAAATTTAAAAAGTAATGAGAGCCTAATCTACTTAAAGGTTAAATATTATAAAACATTTTGCCACTTTTCCACATAAAAAATGTTAAGGGCTCTCAGCCTTTCCTTAACTAATGTTTCAGATGTATGTCATATTGTGCTGCTAACATTCATACAGAGTCAAAAACAATATATGTAAACTTTATAAAATGATATCTAAAAAGAGAGACAAAGATCAGCTTTAAAACAAAAACACTTTACCTAAGATTTGTAAAGAGCCCTGCCTTACCTGAGATAAGGCTCTGCCTCCCACCTTACAGCATATCAAAATAACTTCAAAGTAGGCCAGATTTCAGTTAATTTAAAGTTATATTCAAAGATTAATTTATTAAAAAATTACTGTGATATTATGTTATGTAAAAATTAACTGTAAAGTTATAAAGATTAAAGTTAAAGCCCAGCATTCTTACTTTCAAACTGGTAAAAACTGACTTGCTGGATGTTTAAGGCCAAATTTAAATATTAAAGTTAAAATAAAGGGGCCAAAGAAACCAATATTTGGCTCTTGCCCTCTAAGTCAGCCTGAACCCAAGACAAGGGGAAAAGCTTTGCAACTCTGGGCCACATAACCTCCCGATAAGGGAGATTAATGAGACCTCTGGAGAACAGAAAGCCAATGAGTGTACATGCTGCAAAAGAGGAGGGTCATTGAAAAGGGGAGACATGCCTGAAGCTTCCAAGGGAAGCCATATGGTCAGCAAGACCTTGACCCATCCTAATGCAGATGACACTAACAGAGCTAAAATGCTACTCACACGTTCCCCAAGAATGTCCTCCAAGGAAACTCAGCTGACTCTTATCAATAGATAGAAACAAGGTCAGTTTGACCAGCTTGGTCTTAAACACCTAGCAAAAACAGTTAAAACCAAAGCACAGCCATTCCTGGGCATTTAAAAAGAAACAACAGTTATTTTAATGTAACTTAAAATGTACCCTAGTGTTAGCATCCCCGAAATAAGTAAGACTGGAGGAAACAAAAGAAAAATTCTTAGGCAAAAATGCCTGATAACTATCAATAAAAAACTGCCAGAAGTTTTTAGTCAGTTCAAGGCCTACAGATCTTCCTAATTTCCTACACAGGTAGATGTAATCAATGTTTATTAATATAATTATCTAGCCTTAAGGATCTTTACTGAACACAGTGGTCATGCCAAAAAGGTATTTTTACAAAAATCAGATGACATTAACTAATTTAACTAAATGTTGTGTCTACATTTCTGATAATTCTGACAATGTTAAAGATTTATGTTCCCTAAAAAAGTGCCTTATTAGGCTTTGTTAGGCCTTGTTATGGGGGCATTTTCTCAGGTCTTCTGCCTCCTGGTAAACAATTATGAATTTCTGTCATTTTCATGATATTCATGGACAGGTTCCAGATGCTACAACTGCTATTTTGTATTACTCTTACTTCAGCACTCAGGTCTTTTTGTTTCTCTCATAGAAGTGCCCACCCCAGGTGAATTTACATCCTGTTCTTCCTGAGCCAGATTTTTACCATGGACTCCTTGACCCACTCAGTTTCTAAAAAGGGACTCCAAACTGCTTGCCCACTGCACATCGCCCCCTTTCAGCTGGAAGTAGTAAGAACGGTCATCGCCCTCTTCCCTTACTGCAGTTGGAGGTCCCTAATATTAGAAAAAAAAATTCCGGTCAACATAGATGTTCGCCAATATGTCTAGCTCAGGAAGATGTACCTGGGAAACTACTCCCAAGATTACACTGGGTGATCTCCCAGAAAGAGACACTTGCTTCTACAACCCAACTTATAAGTGGGACAACTCTCCCTGTTCACCAAAAATTGTGCTTCCCGGGTCCCACTTTGAACCCTTGACTAAATCTCCAAACTGTCAATAACTCTGAACTATGTAACCTACTATTTTGATGGAGTAAAAGAAAAAGAACACCTGGACTTATTAAAAGGCCAGGCCCCACTGATTTATCAACATAGACTGGCTGCCCCCATTTTAGTTCCCCTCCTGGCTGGCTTTGGAAGTCCCTCAGCTGTCAAATAGATATAGATTTAGAAAAACTAGAAAGGTCAATCTCCAAACTAAAGGTTTCACAAGTTCTACAGAAATAGTCTTACAAAACAGATGAGGTCTAGATGGTCTCTTTCTGAAACAAGGAGGACTTTGTATGGCTCCAGGAGAAACTTGTCTCTATGCAAACCATTCTGGGATAATAAAGAACAGTTTGGCACTTCTGAAAAACAGGTTAAATGAAAGAGATGAAACACTAGGAAATTCAGGCAATTGGTTCCAAAACCTTTTCTCATGGTCCCCTTGGTTGACTACCATCATTTCAGCCATAGTTGGGCCCCTAGTCCTTCTCCTGATTGGTATTACTGTAGGACCCTGCCTCTTAAAATCCCTCCTAAACCATATACAAAAGAATGTAGGTGAGGTCAGACTTATGGTCTTGCGAGCCCAGTTTAGTCCCTTAGACACAGAAGGTTGGAACAAAAACTGAGACCTAATGATGTGCAAGATTGACATCAAACCTACTCAAACCAGTGGGGAATGTGATAGTAGGAGCAAATGTGACTCCATTTTGTTTTATGACTTCATCCTGTAAAACAACCATGCCAAGTAGAAGAGTCATGACTGGAACAAGATGTTCTTTTCCTTTTGCTATAGAAACCTTTAAGAACACGGAACTACCTAATGGGATATTGTTTCTGTAACTAGGATAACGGGGCTCTGTTTCTGTAACTGGGGTGACTGGGCTAACTGTGATTGGTTAGGCTTCCCTCCGCTTGACTGCACTGTCCCGCTTCTGTAACCTGGCTTGCTTGCATTGGCTAGACCCCCTGAACATCCCTTTTGTGGTTTTCAGGCTTATAAGGAGTGCCCTTGCAATTGTTCGGGGCTGATCAGGGGAACAGCTTTATGTTCTGGTCAGCCGCCACCGGTGTGCTTCAATAAAGGCTTGATTCAATTATACATGAGTGGTCTGGAAGTCAGTTCATGAAACCCTGGGACGAAGCTTTAACTATAACAGAAGGAGGATTGCAAATTAAAGGTCAAACACAGCAACTTACCAAGGTCTTAAGCAGCTTAGTGAGGCCCTGTCTCAAAACAATAAATAAAAAGGGCTGGAGATGTGACTTAGTGAAGCACACTTGGGTTTAGTCCCTAGTTCCAAAAAAAAAAAAAAAGGCAGAGACTGTCAGAGTAGGTTTTTAAAAGTTGGCCTTAGGGGCTGGGGTTGTAGCTCAGTGGTAGGGCACTTGCCTACACGGATGAGGTCCTGGGTTCAATCCTCAACACCACATAAAGATAAATAAATAAAAGGTATTGTGTCCATCTACAACTACAAAAAAAATTTTTTTAAAGTTGGCCCTAGTTATGTGCTAAATATAAGGTGTTTCCTAATATAAAGACAAACATTGAACCGAAGTGGGCGGAGGAAAGGAGCACCATGACAGCAGCCAAGTTTCGCAAGGCCAAACAGTACATTGACATTGGACAAAACAGGCTTCAAGACGGGCAGTCTCACCAGAGGCAAAGAAGAAGGTTCTGTAATAACAGAAGGGTCAGTTTGTAAATGTGTACGTGCCTGACGGCAAAGCTGCAAGAGGCAAGAGGGAGTTCCAGAGGCGAGTGAGGCCGGAGCATCGCCTCTGCACACACATGGTGTAAAGCAGGGTGAGGCGGCAGGTTCAGCCAGGTGGGGGCCTAGAAATCCACCAGACAGGTAATGCTGAGAGAAGCTGTCCACCAGAGCACTTGCAGGCCTCTGGCTGGGCTACTCCAGCTCCAGCACACAGCATGGTCAGCGAGGACCATGGTGGTCCTCAGAGAGCAGGCTCCACTGGGCCAAGAAATTAAAACCCATGGCTCTGCCAGAGAAGAAGGGTTTGTTAGCAAATGGGCAGGAGAACACCCCGGCCACACTAGCCAAGGCTAAGGTCCCACTGGGTACCAGGGGCAGGCCAGACTTTCAATGCTGTGATGGCTAACTTTGTGGGTCAGCTTGCCTGGGCCACATTGCCCAGATACTGGTTCAGATTTATTCTGGACATGTGTGAGAATAAAGCAGCAGGTTTTGAATGAAGCACATCACCCTCCCTAGCAGGATAGAGCCCAATCTGGTCAGCAGAAGGCCTCAATAGGACAAAAAGACTGACCTCCCCTAAACAAGAGGGCTTCTATGGCAAGCAGCTGATCCATGTGACCAGCCTGACAGCCCACTTGCAGATTTCAGACTTGCCAGCCCCCACCACCGTGCGGACAGCCCCTTTCTGTCTTCTGTGTTTTTAGTCAGATTGTCACCGCTGTGACCAAAAGACCCTACAAGAACAATTAGAAGAAGAAAAGCTCATTTGGGGCTCAAGTTCCAGAGGTCTCAGTCTGTAGATGGATGACTCCATTCCTCAGGGCAGGAGTGAGGCCGAACATTATGGTGGAAATGTGTGGCAAAGGAGAGCAGATGGGGATATGGCATCAGGAAACAGCACCTCCACTCACCAGGGACAAAATATAAACCCCAAAGACACACCGCAATGACCTGCCTCCTCCAGCCACACCCGACCTGCCTACAGCTACCACCCAGCTAATCCCTACTGGGATTAATGTACTGATCAGGTTAAGGCTCTCAGAATCTGACCATTCCAGCTTTACACCTTGCATAGACTCACACTCGAGCTTTTGGGGGATGCCTCACATGTAACCATAACATATGAAAACACACAGAGTAATGCCTGAGATGAGCTTCCCATAAGTATCTCGCTGACAAGGAAGCCATGTGAGAGACGTTGACAGAACAGCAAACCAGGGGATATGTGGAAACTGCTGTGACTACGATCCAGCCCACACACAGATCCAGGAGCAGAAAGAAATTTTTCTGGCTTTGTCCAAATTGGGGCTTGTGCATATGTTATGCAAAAACAGGGACAAGACCTAAGAAACCAGGCTAAAAATTTAAAATGAAAATTAAAAACAGGGAAATCTGCAGCTACGCAAACGGGGAGACCATTGCCGCAGCCTGAGTCCAGGACATGCACAGATCTGCGCCCTCAATGAGAAAGCCCCTGTCGCCCCAGGGCCTGGGGGTGCCAGAGGATGTCAGTGGAGGTGATGGCAAAGCTCTGACAGTGCCTTGTGCTGCACCAGCTCCTTCAAGACACAGGCTACTGCGGCTAAAAGATAACCTGAGCAACCCTGAAGCTGCCAAGGACACGGGGTTTAATAAAAGAAAGGCCAGCAGGCCGCATGGCCCTTCACCAGCAGCTGAGGACCAGCAGCTACGGACCAGCTCGCCCAGGCTCTCCCAGAAGGTTACAGGTGAGGAATGTTTCCTGCTGCAGTTTGCTCACGTGTACCCTGGAGGCAAGGTGTACAGGCTCGGTCTCCAGTCCCTGGCGCCATTGCGGGGTGGTGGAACCTTAAGGACCTGGATGTAGTGGGAGGAAGGGAGGTCACTTGAAGGGCCTCTTGCTTTCACTCTGCTCCCCGGCTGCTACGAGGTGAGCGTTCTCCCCACCACATACTTCCTGGTGCTCTCTGCCTCTGCAGGCCCAAAGCAAGGGGCCAGGGACCACAGGTTTAATTCGTAAACCAAAAGAAACCTTCCGTCCTCTTAAGTTTTCTGAGGTGTTTTGTCACAACAATGGAGAGCTGACTCTCACAGCTCCTGACTCACTCCACAAGGGCAGAATTACACCAAAATCCAAAAAGTCATTGTTGGAAAGAAAATTAGCCTCCACTCCATGTTAACGTAGATGCCAAAATGCTAAACTAAATTTTAACCAATCAAAGTGAATGATTGGTAAAAAGATCAACACATGAGCAAGTGAGCTCTATGCTAGTGTTAGGGTTTGAACTGTGCCCCTCACTTTATACACTGAAATCTGACCTTCAATGTGACTGTGTTGGGAGATGCAGCCTTTAAAAAGGAGATTAGGTTAAACGATGTCATAGGAGTGGGGCCCCAATCATATGGAACTAGTGGCTTTTAAAAATAAAGCTTATTGAGTATATTTAAGGCGGACTGCATGATATTATGGGAGGGACACCTGTAGATAGTAAAGCGCTTACTTGGGTGAAACAGATCAACGCACTCATCTGCTCACGTAGTTACCCCGTTTTGTTTCTTTTATGGCAAGAGCAGCTAAAATCTTTTTAATTTGTTCTTTTTAGTAATACATGACAACTGACTGTATTTGGGTAAATTTTACGTACATAGAGTTGTTTTATTCTATTTAGGATCCTACTCTTGTGGTTGCCCATGATGCAGATTCACATGGTCGTGTATGCAAAAGCCAGGTTAACAGAGTTATATCCAACCCACGTATAGCAGCCTCACCTCCTGTGCTCCTCACCATGCATTTGGGCCTACAGACTTGGTCACCTACACATCTGCCACTTAGTGTCCTCTGGCCCACACCTTCCCACTTCCTCCCCCCACCACCTCTGATAGCCACCGTTTGTTTACTACCTCTGTATACTGGAATTTTGCTTTGTAGAATTCATATTTAAGTAATATCATGCAATGCTTCTCTTTCTTTATCTGCCTCATTTTACTTGGAATAATGCCCTACAGTCTCGTCCACTTGTGGCAAATGGCAACATAGGGCTCTTTGCGGGGCTGAACTCTGTTCTACCGTATGGAACATATCTCTGTCTGTCAGGGCAGTTAGGTTGTTTCCATTTCTGGCTGTTGTGACTGGAGCTGCAGTGAACCTGGGAGTGTGGGTCTTCACGAGCTGGTGCTTTCACCTCCTGTGGGTGGTGACACAGAAGAGGGACATCAGGTCACACAGGGTGGGAGGGGTTCTGTGCTTAATTTCTTGAGAATCTCCTTATGATTTCCATAAGACAGTAGCAATAGGCCTGGTGTCCTCATAAGAAGAACCAGAGCACAGACAGCTCACTCCACCTCTGCCCCACACACACCGAGGACAGGGTATGAGGTATGGGGATGAGGTGAGACAGTGGCTGTCTGCAAACCAGGAAGCGGGGCCTCCCCAGACCCAACCCTACTCGCACCTTGAACTTGGACTTCCAGCTTCCACAGCTGGGAAGCAATAAATTTCTGTTGTTTAAGCCACTCAGCCCGAGGTGATTGGTTATGGCAGCCTGAATTGATGGATACACCCAGCCACGTAAGGCTGATTAAACTTTCAAGACTCAATGTAATTAATATTATTAAAAATCTACAGAAAAATGGTTAGATCATCTCTATCAATGCAGACCCTTTACCAAACATCTGACAATCTGACATCCATCCTTTTTTTTTTTTTAAGTACTAGGTGTTGATGACCTGCCTCTACGTTGCTGAGCGCATCCTCGACCCTTTCTTATTGTATCTGGAGGCTTGGCTGGCTAAGTTGCCCAGCCTGTTCTCCTACTTGGGATCCTCCTGCCTAAGCCTTCCAAGGAGCTGGGAGCACAGATGTCACTGCACCTGGCTCCATTCTTGACACACACTCACACACACACACACCCCTCCAAGTTAAGTATGAATAGAGGGTAAGAGCCTTAATCTGGTGAGGACATCTACAAAGCAAAGTTAAAAGGTATGTATGGGAGGAAGCCTCAATACTCTCCCCCAAAAGTCCCACTGTCCCACCATCAGAGAAGTTTGTAGCCAGGATGTGAAGATAAGAAAAACAACCGAACGCTTCCATATCGGAAGGGAAGACATTACTAGCATCTTGTTCTGTTTTGTTTTTGTCGTCAGTCTGTATTGGAAATCCTGTAGAGTCTACCAGAAAGCTTCTTGAGGCAGCAAGTGAGATAGCAAAGCTAAAGTTCTATTTCTACATGCTAATAAACAGCAGAAGAACTTAAATTCATAAATACCATTGCAGGTACATCAAAAGCATGAAATAGGGATTAAACTGACAAAAATGTGCAGGACTTGTACACTCTATACTGGAAATATCTGGGAGAAATCAGAGAAGACCAAAACGAATGGCAAGATGTGTCGTATTCATGGA